TTTGTTTTTAATACCATTTTTCAATGAAAAGAATCTAAGCTCACTTGAAGAAACGGTTGGTTCCAGAACTTCAGGAGGAAATGCACACGACAGGCCTGATACATCTCAGTGCTAGGAAAGTAAAGAAGTGATTGTGAAAGCAGCAAGGAAAATGGAATGGTGGAGGTTTGTCAAGGACACAAGAGTCAAGTGAAAGAACTCTGGGTGGTGACGAAAACTTCCCCAATGGAACAAAGAAAGCAGGATTGAGGGCTGGGAAGGTGGCTCAGTGGTAGAGCGCTTGCCTTGCATGCATGAGGCCCTGGGCTTGATTCCTCAGCACCACATAAGCAAAAAAAAAAAAAAAAGCCAGAAGTGGCAAAGCCAGAAGTGGCGCTGTGACTCAAATGGTAGAGTGCTAGCCTTGAGCTGAAGAGCTGAGGGACAGCGCCCAGGCCCAGAGTTCAGGCCCACTACCGGACCCCCCCCCCAAAAAAAAAGAAAGAAAACAGGATTGAATTATTGCTCAAAGTAGAAATTAAACATCCATTGAATGCATGGTAGTATGAGACAAATCTCCCCATGCAGAAGAATCCCAAGTAAATATAAAGGATACTCCCACATGGTGCCAGACTTTGAATTTAGGGCTCAAGCTCGTTTGGCTTTCTGCACTTGTGCTCTACCACTTGAGCCAGGCCTCTAGTTCAGCTTTTTGCCAGTTAATTGGAGATAGAGTTTTACAGACTTCTCTGCCCCAATTGGCTTTGACTTGTGATCCTTTGGATCTCAGCCTCCTGAGTAGCTAGGATTACAGGCTTGAGTCACTAGCACTCAGTTCCCAAACTTTTCCCCCCCAGTCCTGGGGCTTGAACTCAAGGTCTGGGCACTGTCCCTGAGCTTCTTTTACTCAAGGCTAACACTCTATCACTTGAGCCACAGCACCACTTCTGGCCTTTTCTGTGTATGTGGTACTGAGGAATCGAACTCAGGGCTTCATGCATGCTAGGCAAGCACTCTGCCACTAAGCCACATTCCCAGCCTAGTTCCCCTACCTTTAAGCATGGGTTTCTTGGAGCCTTCTTTCAAAAGAGTACCGTACAGAAATGAGGATGCAACATTAGTTTACTTGGGTTGCCACAGCAAAATATCACAGAAATTAATTTTCTCCCACTTTTTTTCTTGTAATCATGGTACTGGGGAGCAGGAGATGAACTCATGCTTGTTAGATAGTTGTTCTACCACTTGTGTCTTGGTCCCAACCCAAGTATGATCTCACATTTCAGCTTACGCAGACCTAGACATTCATTGATCCTCCTACTTGTTTCCCAAGGAGCTGACAGGCATGATCCACCATTGCCTGCCTTTTGTTTGTTTGTTTTGGCTTTTAGCACTTTTTCCAAATGAAGCAGAGATCATGGGTAGAGAACACTACTCCTTTTCATTCCCTCGCTTTCTTACCATGATTCTAGTATTTCAAGTGGTTGAATGTATGGTTGGGGAATTGGGAGAGAAAAATACCAGTTGCTTTCTGTCCCCCTTCTCCGCCCCTCCCTGCCCTTTATTTAAAGTATTCATACCTATGAGAACTCTCAGGTTTGTTTGTTGTTTTGTTGTTGTTGTTTATTTTGTTCTTATCACACTCAGTATTTACAAACAGCTCTGACAGGTAGGTAGGTAAATATAATCTTTTTTTTTTTAAGTTAGTTTTGGGACTTGAACTCTGGATCTGGGCACTATCCCTGAGCTCTTCAGCTCAAGGTGAGCACTCTACCACTTGGGAGGTAAAAGTCTCAGACTTTTCTGCCTGGGCTGGCAGTGATCTTCAGATCTCAGCCTCCCGAGTAGCTAGGATTATAGGCATGAGCCACCAGAGTCTGGCTAATGTAAGTATAATCTGAAGGGTAAGAAAACAGCACTCTGTTCTGTACAGCACTTTTATAACAACAACAACAACAATAATAGAAGATAGCACTCTGTATAAGACAAGATAGCTCCTTTTTTTTTTTTTTGTCGGTCGTGGGGCTTGAACTCTGGGCCTGGGCGCTGTCCCTCAGCTCTTCAGCTCAAGGCGAGCGCTCTACCACTTGAACTACAGCACCACTTCCAGTTTTCTGGTGGTTTATTGGAGATAGGAGTCTCATGGTCTCTCCTGCCGGGGCTGGCTTTGAACTGCGATCCTCAGATCTCAGCCTCCTGAGTAGCTAGGATTACAGGCGTGAGCCACCAGTGCCGGCTAAGATAGCTCCTTTCTTGAAAGGGTTGGAGCTAGGTCTCTAACATCTCAGCGCAGTCTACCTTTTTGTTTGTTTGTTTGTTTTTGGGTCTGGTCTTGAGGCTTGAACTCTGGGCCTGGGCACTGTCCCTCAGCTCTTCAGCTCAAGGCTAGCGCTCTACCAGTTGAGCCACAGCGCCACTTCTGGCTTTTTTTTCTGATTATGTGGTGCTGAGGAATCGAACCCGGGGCCTCAGGCATGCAAGGCAAGCGCTCTACCACCGAGCCACCTTCCCAGCCCCACAGTCCAGCTTTTTATGTTCTGTTCATAACTACAAATGTTTTCTCTTTTCATACCTGGGCAAAGAAAGGATCGGATCCAGAAACCTCAAAAGAGATTTGGCTTTAGAGCTGGGTGCTGGTGGCTCACGCCTATAATCCTAGCTATTCAGCAGGCTGAGATCTGAGGATCACAGTTCAAAGCTAGCATGGACAGAAGAGTATGTGGGACTCTTATCTCCAAAAAAATGGAAGTGGCACTGTGGCTCAAAGTGATAGAGTGCTTGCCTTGAACTGAAGAGCTGAGGGACAGTGCCCAGGCCCAGAGTTCAATCCCTACAACCGACAAAAAAAAAAAGACTAACTCTGTTCTTCAGCAAACCATCTTCCTTCCAACACATATTCTCAAGCAAGCATACACCTAAACAAGGCTGCATTGAACCAGTCTCAGAGGGCTGGGAAGGTGGCTTAGTGGTAGAGTACGTGCCTTACAGGTATGAGGCCCTGGGTTCGATTCCTCAGCACCACATAAACAGAAAAGGCTGGAAGTGGTGCTATGGGTCAAGTGGTAGAGGGCTAGCCTTGAGCTGAAGAGCTGAAGGACAGTGCCCAGGCCCAGAGTTCAAGCCCCATGACCAGCCAAAAAAGAAGAAGAAGAAGAAGAAGAAGAAGAAGAAGAAGAAGAAGAAGAAAGAAACAGTTTCAGAGCTGGGCATGGAGGTACAAGCCTATAATCCCAGCATTCTAGAGGCTAAGGCCAAAGATGACTGAAAGTGTGGGTGCTGATGTAAAAGTCTGGGTGGCAAGGAGTTAGGACAACATAGAGTTGGGGATGAAAATGATAAGAGAAAAAAAGTAAGCAGGTCAGTCAAAGAAATGGGGGCAGGGAGCTATAAAACAAGAAGAATGACAAAAGAAATAAGAATGGGGCACTAAATCTTTAGTATTGACTTTACCGGAAACACGAGAATCACCAATCAGAAAGCAGCTTTAAGGATTCCCAATTCTCCCTGTTTAACACAAGGCCAAAGCTCTGTAATCCCAGAGATGGCACAAGATGGCTGAGCTGGCTTCCAGTGGCACGTCTATGCCACATGCTCTTTCTCTGCCATATTTCCCTTCTAATAAACCTTTATTATATTCACAGGCTTGTCTTCCTGATTCTCTTACCAGACGCAAGGATGGAGGCCAACTTCGCTGCCCTAAGTTTCCCATATCAGAAAGCCTCCTTTCCTGTGCTTGAGGCACAGAGAGCATTTAAAATCCACTGAGGCCTTTGGCTTTCTTTTCACCAGGGAGTCAAACTATGAATTTCTACTAAAGTCAGCTGCCATTGTTCAGGTGACATCTGATTGGTGTCAGGTAGCACCACAGAACCAACAGTGGCCAAGGAGCTCTGGGGATGAGAGGGGACAGAAGGGTCTTGCCTCTCTGCAAACACAAAAGTCATTGAAGAAAGGAAGAAAGAAAGAAAGAAAGAAAGAGAAAGAAAGGAAGGAAGGAAGGAAGAAAGAAAGAATGAAAGAAAGAAAGAAAGAGAAAGAAAGGAAGGAAGGAAGGAAGAAAGAAAGAAAGAAAGAGGTCAAGACAGCAAGTATATCTTAAGTAAAAATTGAACTGTGTAACTTGAGGGGTAAGGACTTAGAGGGGGCAATTGGGGGAGCACAAAGGAAGGGGTGATATTGACCAAGATGTGTTGCACTCATAACCTGACTTAATGGAATTGTGACCTCTTTGTACAACTAATTAATAGTGATGATGATGATGATGATGGTGTCCTCAGGGGCCATCTTGTTTTATGGTGCAGTTAAGTCTGCTCTGGCCTCATGAGATGACCCTCTCTAGATCTGGTGGGGAGTGAATGACCTTGGTGACCATTGCACCCCGAATTCCAGGTCTCCCCTGGATTGCACGGGTTACCTGGAGGCTCCCCCCCCCCCTTGGGACCTGCCCGAGGGTCACCGGGACGCGGGGACAGTCAGCTGCACGGCGCCCACACTCTCCTGGGGGTTGGAGAGGGAGGTGCTGCACTCCTTTGGGGGTGTCCATACCTCAGGGTAGGAGTGTGTAGGGGAAGGTGGGGAGCCGGGCGCGGGCCCAGCTGGCCGTACAGAGGCCCGGAGCCGGCGGGCGGGCGGGTGGGCGGGCGGGGAGCAGCGTGCGCCCCGCACAGCCCCGAGCAGCGGCCGCGGCGCGCGCCGAGCGCAGCCTCCTCCCGCTCCCACAATGCACAGGGGCGGCGGCGGCGAAGGCGGCGGCATCGCGGGAGGCGGCGGCGGCTGAGGAGGCGGCGGCGGCGGCGGAGGCGGCGGCGGAGGCGGCCCCGACCCCGAGCGCGGACTCCGGGCCCACGGGACGCTCGCTGGGCGGCGCGGGCTGACGAGCCCGGGAGTGATGGCGAGGACCCCGCACGCCGCCCGCGCCTGACGCCCCGCCCGGTCCCGCCCGCCCGCCCGCCGCGGTCCTCTCCCCCCCCATCTCCCTCAACACCTTCCCCCTCCCCCGGGAGGGGGGGGGCGGAGCAGCTTCTGGAGCGGCCCAGAAACGAGGTGCGGCCTCCGCCCAGGCTGGGGGGCGCCTGGGCCCGCGAGGGGGACCCCCCGCCATGGCCGCGTCCGAGCTCTACACAAAGGTCGGTGGGCGTCAGGCCGAGGGACGAGCGCGGAGCCGGCGGAGGGCGTGAGGCGGGGCGGGGGGGGGGGGCGATCCCCGAACCCCGCAGTTCATAACCCCCGGTCCTGATCCCAGGAAGGGGTGCGGCGGGGGAGGGGGGAGGAGAGGCGTTGATGAGGGAAGCATCCCGGCCCGAGGGAGGAGGCTGGATGGAGGAGGCTGATGGAGGCATCGTCCCTGTCCCTCCTCTACCCCCCACCCCACCCCGGGGTCTCCTGTGCCCGGGCTGCTGGATGGTGGGGGGGGGGGGGGAAGAACACGTGCTTCAAATAGCATCTGGGGTTGGTGCGTGGCCGCCTTCTTGGGGGGGGGGGGACGGACTTTCACCCCCCCCCCCCCGAGCGGCGGGGTTCGGCCCAAGGATGCAGCCCGGGGCTGGATGCCGCTCCGGGGGTGTTGCTTGCTGGGTTGGAGGCCGCCTGCCTGCGTGTGGGTCTCCACAGCCTGGTTACACGGGTGGGGTGGGGAAGGGTGGAGGGGGTTGAGGAGAGATCTTTCTTTGGGGGTGGGGTGGGGTGGGCGGGTGGGGGTGTTAGTTTTAAAGGGAAGTGGTAGCTTTTCCTTGTGGTCCACCGACCCCCACCCGCACCCCGTGTTGGGTATAATCGCACACTGGCATCTTTTGGAGCGCGGTCCCTCTGGGGAAGGACTCTTTCTGCAATTTTGTCACAGTGGCTGGGGGTGGCGTGGGGGCGTGGGGGAGGGAGGGGATGTGATGGTGTGTCTCCTGGAGTTGTTTTTGTTTCTGTTGTTGTTGTTGTTGTTTAAAGAAATGACTTCTGTATGATAGGGAGACGCATGTGTCCACTACTGGTGATTTCCAAACTCCAGGGAAGACAGTCGACTTAACTTCTCAAGTTCACGGTTGCAGCAGCAGCTGTACTTAGCATCCTGGAATTATTGCTTCATTCATTCATTCATTCACTAATAGATGTGCTGGTACTGAGGCTCGAACTCAAAGCCAGGGTCATGTCCCATTGCTTTTCCACTCAGAGCTAGCTAGCGCTCTACCATTTGAGCCAATGGCTCTCCACTTCCAGCTTTCTTTTGGGCCAGTTAAATTGGAGATAAAGAGTCTTGTTGTCTTTACTACCGAGGCTGGCTTTGAACCACGATCCTCAGATTTCAGTCTTCCGAGTAGCTAGGATGACAGATGTGAGCCACTGGCACCCAGCTTTGATTGCTTCTTTTAAATAAGGTGAGCCAAGAAAGCCCAAGGGCCCAATTTGCCGCATAGAGGAAAGAAGCCTAGACTGGGTACCAAGGGATCTGATTTCTACCCCAGACCTTGGGCAAGTCACTTAACCTCTGCCAGTTCAGTTTTCTTCCCTGTAAATATAATTACACCAGCTGCATCCCTTACAATCCATTGTGAGGACCAAACTTAATTATAGTTGTGATAGCTTTTGGTGAACTATGAATTTCCGTGCAAATGTGAGGTATATCATTAATTTCTTCATCCATGAATTGAGTAGCTTGCCCGAAACCTTCTCTAGGAGCGCCTTCTGACCCTAGATTTAGGACATGAGCCATTAAAATTTCTCTGTAAAATAAACTTGGTAATTTTCCAGGCATTGTAGATCTCCTAACATGCAAATGACTGCACCAGGAAATGGATGAAAAGTTACTTTATCAACTTATATAGTGCTTACTCTTTGGCAGGTACTATTTGTTCTCTTGGTTTACAAATAGTAACCCATGTAATCACCGTGAATGTATGGGGTAGATATTGAGGTTATCTTCATGTAAGAGATGGATGTCTGTAAGCATTCATTTCCTACTTCCTTTATGTAGTCTTCCCACCAATGGTGAGCAGTCCACCTCAGAGCTGCTAATTGTAGGCTTCACCCATTGACTGGATGGGTCTAATTGTTGGATTTGCCCTTCTCTTTTCCCCAAGATACTTTGTGGGAAGGAAATGGAAAAAATGTTGCAATTTTTAATTGTTAAGGGTTTGGGCTTCTGTTTGGACTTTATTATAGTACAATTCATGTTAGTCATTAGAAGGGCAGACTGGTATAGTCAGCAACATTGAAGGTGGGGCTTAAGGAGCCTTTCCCTAGAATACATGTGTACCTGGGAATGGTCTGGTAATTGGCTGATTCTTCCTGTGAATTGTGATTCTTTCTGTGAATGGGTATCAGCCTAATGACAGGCAGGAATATTTATTGAGCATCCGTAGTGCCAGATACTCTGCTTAATTTGGATTCATTCTTCCGCCTCTCTATCTTGAGCTTGCTAGGCAGCCATGCCTCTAGCCTCCCCCACCCTTTTTTTTCTTACATTTTTCCTTCCCTCTCCTCTTTCTCCCACCTCCCCTTTTTTTTTCTTTTTGAGATGGGTCTTACCATGTAACCCAGACTTGTCTAAAACTTGCAATCTTCCTGCCTCAGCCTCCTAGGTGCTGGGATTACAGGCATGGGCTATTATACCCTGCTGAGAGTTTCTAACTATGGAAAGTCTTTTCCCTGAAGGCACTTCACCGTCTGTTTCTTATATTCTTGCCCTGCTGTGACTTCTCCAAGGGCATCGATAACCTGCTGTTACTGCAACCAACTGACAGCTGGGATGGGATTTATTAATAGAAAATAGGGAATGTGTCGGGATGAAGGGAAGGTTGGAACAATTCCAGTGGACTGGAGTAGTTACTACTAGAGGAACAGGGCAGCCATTAGAAGTACTAGCAGTAGTAAGCAAGCCTATCTTCTCCTTGCAGAGGGTACTGGGGAGGAAGTTCTGGGGGGTAGATTACAAAGAATGATGGATTGGTGACAGCCATGACAGTATTCAGCATTATGAGCAAATCTGGAAGAAAAATGCCCTTTCCAAAAAATGTCATGAGACCTTAAAGGCAGATTTTGATACGTAATGCAAATTCGCTGCTGTTGCAGTGAGGGCAGGAAACTCTTCAATTTCTTGTCTTGAACTCCAGGGCATTGTGCTCTTCCTCTGCTTCCCCCCTCCAACCCCAAGTCTAGTGCTCTACCATTTGATTTTCCACTTCTAAAGGAGATAAGAGACTTATGGGCTTTCCTGCCTGAGCTGGCTTCAAACCTCAATCCTCAGATCTCAGCCTCCTGAGTAGAAAGGATTACAGGTGTGAATTACTAGCACCTGGCTTGGTTCTTGTAACCTATTTTTGACATAGTGTCTCCACTTCTTACTAAGAAGCTCACAGAAGCTCTCAGAAACTGCAATATGCCTATTTAAGCCTCCTAGTGAACTAGAATAGCAGGCATGCAACCATGTCCAGCTATTGTCAGGAAGGGGTTTCATGAACTTTTTTTTTGGAGAGGGAAAGCTGGGCTAGCCTAAAGTATGATCTTCCCTATCTCATTCTCCCAAGGAGCATCAACCTCCAGGGCTTGGCTGCTTTTGAAATGTGTTATAGTATCTTGAATGGTGAAAGGTCTGTCTATCATCTAATGGTTAGAGAACGAAGTTCTTTTTTTTTTTTTGGTCGGTTGTGGGGCCTGAACTCTGGGCCTGAGCACTGTCCCTCAGCTCTTCAGCTCAAGGCGAGTGCTCTACCACTTGAGCCACAGCGCCACTTCCGGCTTTTTGCTTATGTGGTGCTGAGGAATCGAACTCATGGCCTCATGCATGCAAGGCAAGCGCTCTACCACTGAGCCACCTTCCCAGCCCCTAGAGAACGAAGTTCTAATTCTAAAGGGAGTGGCTACTGCTAGACAGTTTCAACCTTCCTGGCACTTTTAGCTTTTTGTTTTGTCCCTTAGTTTTTTTGCTCAAGGCTGGTGCGCTACCACTTGAACCACATTTTCCCTTTTGGCTTTTTGCTAGTTAATTGGAGATAAGAGTCTCACAAGCTTTCCTGCCTGGGCTAGCTTCAAAATGTGATCTTCAGATCGCAGCCACCTGAATAGATAGGATTACAGGCATGAATTACTGGTGACTGGCTGGATTTTAGGTGGTTTATTTCATAGTTCCCTGTCCCACTTACTGAGCAGCTAGGATTATAGGCATGATGCATTGGTGCCCAGCTTAGTATTTTTTTGATACTGAGTTCAAAACCTCAGAGCCTCTGCTAATGCACTCTACTTCTGAACCATACCTCCATCCTCCTTACATAGAATTTATTTTTTATTTTTTATTTTTTGAGTCTGGTTGTGGGGCCTGAACTCTGGGCCTGGGCGCTGTCCCTCAGCTCTTCAGCTCAAGGCTAGCGCTCTACCACTTGAGCCACAGCGCCACTTCCTGCTTTTTTCTTTTTGCTTATGTGGTGCTGAGGAATCGAACCGAAGGGCCTCAGGCATGCAAGGCAAGTGCTCTACCATTGAGCCACCTTCCCAGCCCCCTTACATAGAATTTATAACCATTGTATTGATCATCTCTTAAGACAACAGAGATTTTTTGCCTATTGTACTTTTTTTTTTGGTCAGTCGTGGAGTTTGAACTCTGGGCCTGGGCACTGTCCCTCAGCTCTTCAGCTCAAGGCTAGAGCTCTACCACTTGAGCCACAGCGCCACTTCCAGTTTTCTGAGTGGTTTATTAGAGAGAAAAGTTTCAGGGACTTTCCTGCCCGGGCTGGCTTTGAGCCACAATCCTCAGATCTCAGCCTCCTGAGTAGCTAGGATTACAGGCTTCAGCCATCAGTGCCCAGCTGCCTATTGTACAATTTCAGCATGATATAATTATGTTTCAATTTCAAACTAATGTCTCTAAACATGATTGAAATCAAAGGATATGTGTAATACTTACTGAGATCCTTCTTTGTCCTGACATGCTGCTGTGGCCAAAAATGGGGGGAGGGATAGGTGCTGGTAATTCACTCATGTAATCTGGAGGATGAAATGATCTGAGGATTGAGATTTGAAGCCAGACCAAGCAGGAAAGTCTATGACACTCTTTTTTTTTTTTTTGGGTCTAGTCGTGGGGCCTGAACTCTGGGCCTGGGCGCTGTCCCTCAGCTCTTCAGCTCAAGGCTAGCACTCTACCACT